GAGGTCGGGATTCTGTGAGATGTAGTGTATAATGAAGAAACCCAAAACCGAAGTGCAAACACAGGAAGTTACAAAAATGATTGCAAACATTAATTTGCATCTACTTATTATTAAATAAGTGCCACAATATTGCCAGAAATAATAATGCACAGTAAAACCTTTGAAATGACTAATTTTCATTTTGTATAATTTGCTCTGGCTATAAAATATATTAATATTTGTGTGTGTGTGTGTCTGTGTGTCTATATAGTCATAAAATACCATCATATGGAAAACTTGAAAGCAAATTTTTAATATGGAAGCTCAAAAAATGTAAGCATTATATAAAAAATAAGTGTAATCTATGGAATATGTACCCTTTCATTAATAGACATGGTTAAATGTCTCCCCTCTCCCTGCATTTTCTAGGTGAAGTCAAATAAATAGTATTATTGCTAGTAGCAATTCTTATTTTTGAGACAGGGCTCACATTGTTGCCCAGGCAGTAGCGCAGTGGTGCAATCACAGCTCACTGCAGCCTCCACCTCCCAGGCTCAAGGGATCCTTCCACCTCAGCACCCCAAGTAGCTAAATCCACAGGGGTATGCCACCACACCAGTTAATTTTTGTTTTTGTTTTTTGTAGAGACAGTGTTTCGCCATGTTGCCCAGGCTGGTCTCAAATTCCTGAGTTCAAAAGCTCTGCACACGTCACGCAGCCTCCCAAAGTGCTGGGATTGTAGGCATGAGCCCCCACCCGACCTGGTAGCACTTCTTGTTCCTTTCTTCCTCCCTGCCTCGAGTCCTCCCTCCCTCTTTCCTTTTCTTTCCTTTCCTCATTTCCCTTTCCCTTTCCTTTCCTTTCCTCCCTTCCTTTCCAGACAGCCTGTTGCCCAAGCTGGAGTACAATAGCATGTGCAGCCTCAAATTCCTGGGCTCAAGCAGTCCTCCCACCTCAGCCTCCCGAGTAGCTAGGACCACAGGTGAGCAATCAACCAAGGTTGGGCTAATTTTTTTTTTTTTTTTTTTCAGTAGAGATGGGGTATTGCTATGTTGTCCAGGCTAGTTTTAAACTCCTGCCCTCAAGTGATCTTCCTGCCTTGGCCTCCCAAAGTGTTGAGATTACATCTTTCTTTAGATTAAAAAAAAAAAGAAAAGAAAAAAAAGTAGTCCAGCGGCATTGGTACCAACAAAACTTACTTCCTAAGATACACACAGAGGTTGTCTATAATTAGGAAATGAAAAAGTAAAATAAATTGTTAAGATACAATTATATTTATCCAACTGAACATTAAGGGGGAAATAAATCATTCTGTGTCTATTCCCTGCTATTTATTTTTTTTTGAGATGGAATCTCACTCTGTTGCCCAGGCTGGAGTGCAGTGGCGCAATCTTGGCTCACTGCAACCTCCGCCTCCTGGGTTCAAGCAATTCTCCTGCCTCAGCCTCCTGAGTAGCTGGGATTACAGGCGCCCACCACCACACCTGGCTAATTTTTTTTACTTTTAGTAGAGATAGGGTTTCACCATGTTGGCCAGGCTGGTCTCGAACTCCTTACTTTGTGATATGCCTACCTCAGCCACCTAAAATGCTGGGATTACAGGCATAAGCCCACCGCGTCCGGCCTATGCTGTGTCATATTGTGAGCCCAGAAGAACTTCTGTACCTCAATATTTTGTAAAACTAATAAGTACCACTCAGTTCATTAGTGCTAAAGTATGCAGTTTTCAGTTAGGGAACTAATGACACGGAGGTACGACATTCATAATGTTTCTCTTTGGCATGTTATTTACCTCTTGTTACCTGTTTTGATATGTGTTTGAATAAATGATTCATTATCACTAATTTCTGCTGTCGGACCTTTTAGTCACCCAGGTCTGACTTGAATGGAAAGGAGAACGTAAAAGTGAAGTGGTCTGAGAATGACAGCCTCTCTTGAAGGGCAGGTGAAGGTTCAGTGACCTTTGGGCACACTGGTGCATTCTGGTGAATCACTGCTTTGGGGAAGCAATAGACCCTGTGGCTCATAAAACCTGATGATATTAAGGAGAGAGAAGGAATTCATAAATAGATGTCAGGGTCACTGCTACTTTAAAAATTCAAGTATAAGGAAAAAACTATCGTATTTTAAAATGAATTACTAATGTTGTTTTTTTCTTTTAAAACTATGGAGGAAAACCTATACCATACAGATGTTCATTACTTATTCAATGTACACTACTGGGAGATAAATAGAACTGTTAGAATACAAAAATGCCAAGGGTAATTCAACTACTGCAGTGTAAGTGTGGCATAACTGATTCGTCATGACATACAATTTTCTAAAAGCTATTCTGTTAGAAGGCAATAAATGAGTGCATAAATGATTTATACTCTTCTGAACCACAGTTATTATTCAGTATTTTATTTTTAAAAATATATATACTCTATACTATTATGTTTATTCTCTGGAGTATAATGAAAACATAATTGAATTTGATGAAAAATAGACTTGATTCTAAATGTAGCATACAGCACATACAGCTACTTCCTTATTTTGTCCCTTGTGAAGATCAATGGTCACTTGAGGTGGTTCTGCTCTAGGTTCGTTTTAATATATGGGCAATAAAATATTTTTAATTTAAAAATTATATCCTATGTTCCATACTGTATTTTCTTTTTAATACTAACATCTGAGTTTTGACCTAATAACTATTTTTTAATCCAAAATACAATGTTTTAATCACTGTTTTACTTTTAAATATGATTTCTTTTTGACTAGGTAAGGCAAAAAATTAAGTATAAATGGTTCATAAATAAAAATAAGCAATCCAGAACAAAAGCATCAGAGTTCAGTGACTTGTTTGATTTTGATGGCGCCTAAGTTCCACTGTGAAGGAAAAGGTTTACCTTTTAAAAAATAGTTCAATTTTAAAAAATACAAACATCTCTGAAATTGAGGTAATGTCTTGTTAATCTATTTAAGTAAATACTGTTTTCATTTGTAAGCTTCTTTGAGTTAGAAACTGTGTCATAAAATACATAAATATATAACATGAAAGTTATATAAATACATAATTACCCTAAAGTTTATTTTATATTTATATGAAATATCAACTATACATTCTCAGTTTGGTTGTCTATCTCTAAAATACATATATAATGTGTATATGTATAGGTATAGTATAAAGGGCAAATACAAATTAAAAATAAAAAGTTTAATTTTCCCTGTTGAAAATAAGGGAAAAGATTTCCCTCCTCACCTTTTTCCTTATAGCATTTACTTTAGAAAGCTTGTAATCATAGGCCAAGCATGGTGGCTCGCGCCTGTAATCCCAGCACTTTGGGAGGCTGTAGCAGGTGGATCACCTGAGGTCAAGAGTTCAAGACCAGCCTGGTCAACATCGTGAAACCCCATCTCTACAAAGAATACAAAACTTAGCTGTGTGTGGCAGCAGGTGCCTGTAATCCCAGCTACTTGAGAGGCTGAGGCACAAGAATTGCTTGAGCCAGGGAGGCAGAGGTTTCAGTGAGCCGAAATTGCATCATTGCACTCCAGCCTGGGTGACCAAAAAAAAAAAAAAAAAAGGCCTGTAATCATAAGTACTTTCTCATCTTTTGCCATGTATCTATTCCTTGGAAGACTAGGAAGACATGTATCTATTCTTTGGAAAACTTTTGTCAGCAGTCCTTTTGTCAGCTTTGTGACCCAGGAATGCCCTTCTCAAGAAACTGGGAGCTCTCTTTTTGAAATGCAAGCATCAAGGGAGATAGCTCCCCAATCTCCCAGTTCCTGTGAGAGAGTAAGAGCCTAACTTCAGTGGTTGCCTGTTCCAATTTGCAAAACGATCCCTGGTTATAAAGACACAAAAAAGTTTGTTTCTCCTCAGGATAAAGCCAATCAGCTAACACTAATTTACCATGGTAAAAAGTTAGGATGAACTATGTGTGACAAAATGTGCTATCCAGTCTTCCTACCTGAGGACTAGTGATTGTTTATCTTGATAACATGTAATGTAATGGGCTGTATCTGCTTCGCTATTTAAAGGGGTGAGATTCCCTTCCATTTTTGCAAGCTCTTAGTGAACTGCCTGAAATGCACATCATATTCTGGTTTTTAATGCTTATTCGATAATAAAAGTGTTTCTTTTTCCTTTCTCTACTACCTTCATGGAGAGGATTTCTGGGATGGGAGATGTTTTTAAGTATAATTCTCCAATAATATGCTATCTTTTGAATTTACTTATGCCCATTGTTATAATAAAGAACTAACTATTCTCATGTAAAGCAGAAGGAAAAATATCATAGGAACATTTCACTTACTTGTTTCAGTTTCTTTGGAAATTCAATGTAACTATATCTTAAATTTTAAAAAAGGAAATGCTATGTATCATTACACAATATAAATTTTTACTGTGGTTTGCACATTTGTAAGTAAAGTAGAACTGTTGATCAAAATGACGCAAATAAGTAACTGCCTGATTATAGGGTCCACAACTGCATATGAAGACAGAGTCCTTTCTACCAAAGAACACATATTAATGAGAAACCATTTAGCTGTCACTGTTTCCCTCAGTATTTGGTAACGACTTTTTGGGATAGGTGATGACTAATCTAGTATAACAACTCTCTATAAAGTATCTAGCCTCCTACCTAAGTGAGAAAGAATCTTAAATATTATGCAAAAAAATTTTAATGTTCTGTTTTTAGTAACTCAAGCAATCATGGCCTTACACTCTAACCATATTAATGAAAATTCAGAACATCAATATTGACAAGCTCTAAGAAAACATTAGGGCCAATTTAATAAACTTTAATTGCCTACTTCAAGATAGTGCTTATATTTTCTAGTCTTAAAAATGCTACTCAGATAAAGACAACCATGTAAACTTTAAGTGAGAGGGGGTCTAATCAATATTTTGGGGGAAAGTTAATGACAATTAAAACCTAAAATTATCTAAGAGCAGGACACAAATAGACCAGGTAAATTTCATATAAGTAAAATGTGAAAACAACTTGTTTTAAATAATTAACAATATTTACCTTGCAGCATTTTGTTCAATCTTTTCATCAATATCACTGAAGATCTGCTCAAACTCCAAGTCTCCAGGAAATGAGTTTAACAAACAATGTAGGTCAAAAGAATTATGAGAATATTCATCATCCCAATCCATTCTGAGGAGCAAGAATAAATAATAAAACATGTCAGTTCCCCTACAATGGCCAAGGATAGGGGTGGGCAGAAATTCACCTCAAGTTGTGATACTAAACCAAAAATAATAATTCCCATTTATAGGCATAATGAAATACAGCAGTTGGAGAACTAGGGCATTATAAAGCTAGGTAGAATGTTTTGTTATTTAAATTTCATGAGGTGTGACCTAATTTTCACACTTTTCTATGGTTTGAAAGCTGAACAAAACAGCATCCCTCAGAGAGTACTTAAGCACCCTGCAGCTTCTCATTATGGCCAAGAACTGTAATGGAAGTGACAGAGCCCACAGACCACTGTGAACAAGGGTGGGCGCAGCAAAAATTCAATACCTTCCCTCAACTCTTGTCAATATACTCACCTGGAAATTGTAGCCTTAGATTTTTTAAAGCCTCACCCCACTGGGTCTATTTATATGTGAAGGATGCAAAACTGTCCTTGAGTTCCTCTAGCACCCCTTGACAACCTCAGTATTGATACCGAACTAAAAACTGAATGATACGATACTCCTTCTTGAGGCACATGCATTTCCTCACCATCAAAGCTTTAATCATTCATTCTGTCTATGTACTGAACGTTTGATAGGTTACAGCACTGCTATAAAGGCTGGGATATAGCTGCAATAATTTAAATACCCTGCCCTCATGGAGTTTTTATTCTAGTGGGGAAAACAGATTTTTTATAACACATAAACAGATATATTTAATCAAAAATCACATGGTGAGAAGTGCTATTAAGAAAAAGTAAAGCATGGTCATGGGCTAAATTAAGAGTGATACAGCAAGGGCAGAGTGTGAGCTATTTTATTTAGGAATATCAGGGAAGGTCTCCGAGGAGGTGATATTTGTGTAGAAGAAGTAAGTGCAGAAGCTATGGGGAAAGAAGTAAGTCGGAAAGACAAACTAGCTTCTTGATTACTTTGGCCAAGAAATTACTCTTACCACATCTGCTTAAATGTGGTTAAGAGCTCTCTAGTGAGAGCTAGTCACATGACTCTACCTGGCGGCAAAGGTGTCTGGGAAATGCTGCCACTGGCTGGGCATTTGATTCCAGGAAAGCTCTATGCCATGAATGGAGATCATTAATTTTTGGCAGACAGCTAGCCTTTCTGCCACCACCATTCATTTGGTTAAACTTGATTCTCCACTTTCATGATACTGATTTGCCTCAAATGTCTAAATGATCCATGGCGATCCATTCTTTTTTATTGACAAAGGACTAGATTGATACATATTGGTAGCTAGCAAGGATTTTCTCTACTGTTAAGAGGTTGTTTTATCCAAAAGGTCTCTCCCGCCAGAGCAGGAAGGTTGATTCAGACACTGCATGAGTGGATGCTGTGTATCCATCAGTGGGTGTCTCCTTAGGATTTGTGAACAGAAGCAAGCACATATCTGATGATTTGCACAAGTGACCAACCAAGAGTTCATCACACTACAGTGGAACTGTGAGGGGTGTGTGAACCAGAGCAACTCCATCTTGAATAGGAGCGGGTAAAATAAGGCTGAGACCTACTGGACTGCATTCCCAGATGGTTAAGGCATTCTAAGTCACAGGATGAGAGAGGAGGTCAGCACAAAATACAGATCATAAAGATCTTGCTGATAAAACAGCTTGCAGTAAAGAAGCCAGTCAAAACCCATCAAAACCAAGATGGCCACGAGAGTGACCTCTGGTTGTCCTCACTACTACACTCCCACTAGTGCAATGACAGTTTACAAATACCATGGTAACATCAGGAAGTTACCTTATATGGCCTAGAAAGGGGAAGCATGAATAATCCACCCCTTGTTTTGCATATCATCTAGAAATAACCATAAAAATGGGCAACCAGCAGCCCATGGGGCTGTTCTGTCTATGGAGTAGCCATTCTTTTATTCCTCTGCTTTCTTAATAAACTTGCTTTCACTTTACTCTATGGATACCCTGAATTCTTTCTTGTACAAGATCCAAGAACTCTCTCTTGGGGTCTGGATCAGGACTCCTTTTCTCTAACATCGTTCTGGCAACCATGGAATGGACTATAATAAGGAAACCCCCAGCCCAAAGGCTAACTTTGGGCAAGTGGTGGCACCTGGTAACATCTTTCTGGCAAACCCCAAAGGGATGATACTGAAGAAACTCCCCAATCCGAAGGAAATGGACTGCAACACTGATCAGCCAACTTTGGGTAAGTGGTGGGGTACCCAGGTAAATAATGGGATTGGGTTAGAGGCTCAACTTAGGGGAGTCAGGGTCTCTCCTAAGACACTGGGTTACAGTCCCCCCTTAATAAAAGGAAAGGATGCTTGGCCAACCTTGGGTTAGAGGCCCAACTTAGGAGGGTTAGGGTTCCTTATAAGATTTAGGGGTTAGAGGCCTCTCTCAGTAAAATCCCTTTTGGCTAAGAATACGTTTGGCACTGTGGGATGTGAACTGCTCTTCTCTTTGGATTAATCTGCCTTGTACTCTTTGCTGATGGTTATGGGTGATAGGATTAGGCATGTACAGGATCATATGACATGGGGAGCTTTTTCCTCCCCAAAACGGGAAAACCTTGAGAGCTGATGGAACTGCTGGAAAAGATCCCTTTGTGACCAACAAGTGGCCATCTGAACTTTTGAACAACAGGTACGTCTTTCTCTGGTCTCCCTGAGCTCTTTGCCTTCCCCACCCTGCCTGAGGCAATTGTTTTCTTTTTCTCTCTCTGCAAACCAGTTGAATGAATCGTAAAAATTAGTGTTTATCTCCTACAAAGTTTTGATTATGGGAAAAAGGAATTGTGAAGCTAGTCTTAAGCTGTAGTGACTCTGGTGTACTTTGTGTGTCTTTCTGTATTGTTGTGTCATGAACAGGAGTACCTTAGGATAGAACATGGGTTTAGGGCACCTGTAAGCCTGCTTTTCAAGATGGCCCAGCAAACTGTCAGTTACAAACTTTGTTGCAGGTCCCTGAAAAAAACTGGATAAGGTTTCCCTTTTGTATGTCCTTGGGAGCTTGACCTTGTAACCATGTGGCAGTACTTTCTCTTGGTCTCTGCCATCACAATGGTGGCCTGGGTTCAGGGTTCAATTCCTGCCTTAGGGAATGAGTCCTCTATCTTCTCTCTGTGTATTTATATGTGTTGTGTGTGTGATGTTTATATGTGAAACAGCTTTGATTACCTGGTTTAATAATAAGACCTGAAATCAAATATTTTGTCAGAAAAGTAATGTTTAATGCCTTTCATATAGTTCACGTGACTTAAGTAATATCTGGGAAATAAAGATAGTTTTAAACATTATCGGTAAATAAAAATATCTTCAAAAATGTAAACATTGGGTTTAAATTATGTGGGTCAGATATTAAGCTTGCTAAATACTTTAAGGTCATAAACTGCTTAACTTTTTTAAATTATTCAATTTGTTTTGGAGCATTAGATTCTAGATAAGGCCTGGAGATATGTGAAATTAACCATGACCACTAGCTAGGCAAAGAAGGTTATAAATAATAGAAATTTTATGTAAGAAATGCTCTTGTATGTAAATTGTTGTCCTAAAGTAAAATAACTGGTTGTTTAAAAAGAGAGATGTTTAGGACAATTGGGAAAGTCCAAGTATGTCGAAGATTGTCTGTGTAAGTTGTGAACTAATTTATGAAAGGGAATTTATGCAAGAAATGTACAATTTAAAGGTGATTAGGCCTCCTAAAGGCTTCATAAAATGCCACTATGACTCTTAACTGTACAACTTGCCTGTTTTACGCTAGGTAAGGCCTGGTACATGTGGAGTGAGATTCTGGAAAGAGTCAGACCTTATCTGCACTTCTCTCCGGGTCCCAGGCTCCACACCTAGTACATAATTAAAATCCCATACTTACCAAGGTTTTTACCAAAAGTAAAAGTCGTTAAGAATTAACACTTAGGCCGGGCGCGGTGGCTCACGCCTGTAATCCCAGCACTTTGGGAGGCCGAGGCGGGCGGATCACAAGGTCAGGAGATCGAGATCATGGTGAAACCCCGTCTCTACTAGAAATAGAAAAAATTAGCCGGGCGCAGTGGCGGGCGCCTGTAGTCCCAGCTACGCAGGAGGCTGAGGCAGGAGAATGGCGTGAACCCGGGAGGCGGAGCTTGCAGTGAGCCGAGATTGCGCCACTGCACTCCAGCCTGGGCGACAGAGCGAGACTCCGTCTCAAAAAAAAAAAAAAAAAAAAAAAAGAATTAACACTTAACATGTAATTGAGACTACTGACAAACAGTCTACACACAAGTCCTGTAAGGAAAGTAGAATATACTTTTGGTAAAAGATTATAAGAAGTCATGGGAATGTGGATTTATTTACTTTTTGGCTAAAGGATTGTTTTAAGTTAGATAAAATAAGGCTGAAGGCTTAAACAAGTTGTGAACGGTTTGTGAAAAATTAATCTTGTAAAAAAAATTCTGTGTGTGAACATATTGGCTAAAGTTAAAGGGGTATTATTCAGTATTTCCTTACACTGGAATAAAAGCACAACAGGTTTTCCTTAGAGCAAAAACCTCCTTTTAATCTGCTCTTTAACAAAAATTGTAAAGGGTTATAAAAGGTTTATGAGAATCTTACCTTACGGTCAAACTGATTAAGATTGAATACATTTGTCTGTAAGATTTTATTAAGAATTTGGTTTGACACCAACAATGCACTAATGCAAACAGTGACATTTAGTTTATTTAGTATAAAGTCATACAGGAAGGATTATCAAATGTAAAACAGCGTTTTGTTTTCTTTGGGCTATATTTGTATAAATATGTTACTGGCATATGTTCCAAAATTATGGGAAATTTATAATTCTAAAATGACTTAGTGTATGTTTTTAAATAATTATAATCATTACATAAAATTATTGTATGCTACAGAGGTAGCCAAATTTCTTTGTCAATTATGTTTTCAACTGTGGCTCTCCTAAGATGTTTTGTCATCCACAGATAATTGTTGTCTTGTTTTGGTCCTCTTTAGAAGGTGATTTATAATCAACTATAGAACTCTAGCAGATGTTCTTGAATGCAGATTTTCTGATAACTTTGGAGACTGTGACATCAGAATAGAGGAAAAAACTTTCAGGACTCTGATGAAGAGCTGAAATGTTCATGACTACCAAACAGGAGTTAACTGCATTGACTAAACTAATAGAAGTCTACAATAATCTTTTTAATGTTTTGCTTAAAATGTTGCCGATCCTTGTTTTGTTTTTCAGAGTGAAGAAAACTTATTTTGAGCTATTTACAGCTTTAACCAATTGAGTAAAGTATACTCCTGTGAACAAAATTTGGGGCATATTTGTTCCTCTCCATGTGATTTCTCCAGAATTTGGAAACTATTTGTGAATGTTCTTAATTTATGGCAATATAGTTATTTGCATAAGTGCAATAAGAATCTGTTTTCGGCCAGGCACAGTGGCTCATGACCGTAATCCCAGCACTTTGGGAGGCCGAGGCAGAGGGACCACCTGAGGTCAGGAGTTTGAGACCAGCCTGGTCAACATGGTGAAACCCCATCTCTACTAAAAATACAAAAATTAGCTAGGCATGGTAGTGGGCTCCTGCAATCCCAGCTACCCAGGAGGTTGAAGCAGGAGAATCGCTTGAACCTGGGAGGCAGAGGTTGCAGTGAGCCAAGATCATGCCATTGCACTCCAGCCTGGGTGACAGAGCAAGATTCCCTCTTAAAAAAAAAGCATCTGTTTTCATTTCTAACAGGACACAACAGGACACAATAACCAGTTTCTGGTTATTTTACCAAGGCTTTGACTGGAATGGTGTGCTTTACTTTAAGGAATCAAACTTGGCTTGTAAAGTCAATAAAAGCCTTTTGGAGAACTGGCCTCATACCCTGCCTACACAGTCCCTGTGTAGAGTGTTTCTGTACTGTGGTAAGTAAAGAATGTCACTTTCTAACAGATCCAGGTGTTCCAAGTTATCTTGGGACTTTAAAAGGAGAGAAATTTACTCAACTCATAGGTATTTGAGGGTACAAGCCCATGACTTGGGTTGGCTTTAAAAAAGTCTTGAGGTCAGGTGCAGTGGTTCATGCCGGTAATCCCAGCATTCTGGGAGGCCGAGATGGGAGGATCTCCTGCAGTTGGGAGTTTGAGACCAGCCTGCCAACATGGCAAAACCCTGTCTCTACTAAAAATATAAAAATTAGCTGAGTGTGTTGGCACATGCCTGTAATCCCAGCTACTCGGGAGACTAAGGCAGGAGAATTGCTTGAGCCCAGGAGGCAGAGGTTGCAGTGAGCTGAGATCGTGCCACTGTACTACAGCCTGGATGACAGAGCAAGACTCTGTCTCAATAAATAAGTAAATAAATAAAAATAAAAATAAAAATACATTAAAATAAAATTTAAAAGTCTGGAGATTCCTCACTGATGCTTGAGAAAATAAAATTAAAAAGTCTTGAGATTCCTTACTGCTTCCTACTGATGCTTTCTGACTGAGCTCCTCTCTACCCTGAACACAAGAGACCCTGATAGTTAGGCACGAATATCATCACCCTACTCA